GTCCTTGTTTTCTGGATGCCAAGCCAGCTGCATATATCAGAAAACACACGTGACTCAAGATTTCTGCCCTAGTCACTATGTATAATGTCGGGTACCCCAAACCGGCTAATCAGCCCACCCACCAAAGTGTCAGTCACTGTCTCCGCCTCCTGATCCGAAATGGCATAGGCCTCTGGTCATTTTGTAAAATAGTCAACAGCAGACAGGACAAAACGATTTCCTTTGTCTGATCATGGCAGTGGGCCCATAATGTCCACTGCCACTCTCTCCATGCCCCCCCCCACCCCACCACCACCACAAACTGCTGCAGATGGGTGTGTGACTGACCTGATGGTCCTTTCCGTGCAGTACAGCGATCACAACGATGTCAGAAGTTCTCCACGTCTCTCCTGCACCTGCCCCAGTAGAACCTGTGACGGAGACGACGGAGAATTTTTTTGACCCCAAAATGACCCAGCAGCTCAATGCATCGCCTGCAGAACCTCCTCCTTCATGACTCTGGGGACTACAATCTTCCACCGCTCCTCACCTGTGGCAGGCTCTTTACATGCCCTCTGTAGCAGCCCTTGCTCCAGATGCAGAACCTTGAACTTGGACCACAATCCTTTAGTTGCCAGCGAGAGCCCACCAACCTCCTCCCATGATGGCTGCTGTGACTCCACCCACAGTGGCTCTGGCTGGATGTTTGGGTCCTGCTCCTACTGATGCCTTCAGATGTCCACGCCAACAGCCTTCATCTTTTTTGCAGATATCTGATCCGCTCCGACGTGATACTGACTGACTCTGTTGCAGTTGCTCCTCTTCCAGCCTCTCCCTCCGGTCACAGTAACTGCATCCCTCTGCAGCACATGGGCGATGGGAGATCAGCATTTGCATGCTTATCTCCAGCCCGGTGGACAACTGCAAAATGATAGGACTGCTGCTTTTCCAGCCACCRGGCTACCTGACCTGCCGGTTCTTTAAAAGACAWCAGCCATTGGAGAGTAGAGTGGTCAGTTTTTATGGTGAACGGCAGGCCACACAGGTACTACTTAAAGTGGTGCAGAGAAAGCAAGACCACCAGCAGCTCCCGCCTTGTAACACAGTAGCGCCTCTCTTGTTAAAAGGTCTGCTGAAATACCCCACCACTCTCTCCCTCTCTAAGCTCACCTGGGAGAGGACACCCCCCACCCCCACACTACTTGCATTTGYGTCCAGAATGAAGGGGAGAGCGGGGTCAGCTGGGGTGAGCACTGGGGCCTCTGTCAGAGTCTTACGTAGACAATCAAATGCCTCCTGGKCACTGTTCAGTCCACGCATAGTCTCTGTTCTTCTGAAGAAGTTGAAACATTAGGRCTTCTATGTTTGCAAACCCATGCCYGAGCCTTCGGTAATAGGAGGCCAACCCCATGAAACTTTTAAGGTCCCTCTGAGTCCCGGGGGTTTGCCATTCYGTCACCATCTTCATCTTATCCTCCATTGTTCTGATTCCCTCCTTTCCCACCTTGTGTCCCAAAAATATAACTTGCTGACTCATGAGATGACATTAATCTGGATGGAGCCTCAGGCCCGATGCTCTAATTTTCTCCAGCACCCGGCGAAGTGAACATAGAGTTATTGGGAAGGAGGCGCCATGTATGCCATTCGGATACACTACGCACTCCTGGCGAGAGATATCAGCCAACACCCGGTCCATAAGTCTGGAAAAGGTAGCAGGTGCATTGCACAGTCYAAAGGAGAGGACTTCAAACTGCCAAAGACCCCATCCTGTGCAAAAACCAGTCTTTGGTTTGGCACTTGGTGAGAGGGGGACCTGATAATAACCACTATGGAGATCCAGGGACGAGAACCAGTTGGAACCAGACACCAAATCCAACGATCCTGCCCGGCCAGTGGGAGCCGACAGGGCCGACATTTCTTGGTGTAGTATCTCTTGTCAAAATGTTGTACTCCATCAAATAGGTCTGCCTCACCTTGCCTTCACTCAGGGCAAAGCTGTCCTTAAAGTCCACAATCAGCTGCCACAGCTGTTCTTGTTGCCAGGTGTCCAAATCCCAACAATTCTCCACCCAGATCCTCTGCACCATAGCCAGTGATTCATCCTCCTTCACCTGGGGCAACAGATCTGAGGATAAAGAGTTTGCAGGTGTGGGGGTTGATATAGCAGCAGTTTGTTGTAGCTGTGGTGGTAAGTACTCGGTAGCTGCTGTCCAGGGTTCTGTGTGACAGGTAGGGCTGCCACAAATGATTATTTTTATAATCGATTAACCACCGATTATTTTTTTCGATTAGTCGACTAATCGGATCATACGTTAATTGAATATAAAACATA